AATTTTTCAAATTTCTCGAAATACTTCCTTCCCGAAAATTCTTTACAATTTGAAGCTTCCCTTTTTTTTCAAAATTTCACGATCGAAATTACTTTTTTCCTCGAAATTATTTCTTTTTCAAATTACTTTTGTACTATTTTCGAAAATACGTCCTAATTAATTCGTTAGTTGAACTTAGTTCCACAAAATATTTTCGGAATACTTTAGAATTAAATCACCCCTTTTCACAAATTTCTTTGAAAATCTTTGTGAAGCTTCCCTTTTTTTTCGAAATTTCACGATCGAAATTACTTTTTTCCTCGAAATTATTTCTTTTTCAAATTACTTTTGTTCTATTTTCGAAAATACGTCCTAATTAATTCGTTAGTTCCACAAATTTCTTTGAAAATCTTTTCCGTTTGAAATTTTCCTTCTGAAATTCTTTTTTTGCATTAATTAATTAGTTCTTTCTCGAAAATTTGAATTTAAAAATACTTTTGAACTCATTACTTCTTTTCAAAATGCCTTTGAAATATTTCGAAATTAATTAATGATTTTCTTCAAAATTTCTTTTTCTTTTTCGAAATTTCTTGAATACTTTAGAATTAATTCATCTCTTTTTGTAATACCCTTAATTTCTTTCCAAATTCCTTAGAATTCGTTTGCAACTCATAATTCGCCCTTTTCCGAAATTTTGAATTCACATTTTGAACTTTGAAATTAATTACTTATTTTTACGAAATTATTTTGAAATTTTTTTTCTTTGCCGACATTTCCTCGGAAGTGTCTGAATGTGTCGTGCCCGCCCTAAGTGAAGGCGGGCCTGCAAATATATTTGCCAATGCCTGTTTATAGGGCTATGAGACCAGGCTGAGGGGCCCAAGCAGAGCCCGTTGTAAACCCCATGTGGGCATGGATCTTCGACAAGGCTTTGATACGAGTTGGCTCCTTGGCATGTCCCTGTAGGGCCCTTTCAGCAAGCATGAGCCCACCCTAAGTGAAGGCGGGCCCCTCAATTTCAATATGGCCCGAGTTCATTAGTTTTGGCAAAGTTTGGTGGGCGCCAGACAGTTGCCACACGCCAGTTGGTTTCATCCTCCATACTTGTGAGAATCATAAATAATTCTTGAGCCTTCTAGGCTCTTCCAGCAGCGCAGGCGAAGCAGGGAGAACCTCACATTTACTCCTGGGTGGTTGGGCAGGCTCAACCAATTCGGTCCCGGGCCACTACCTGAATGGGCCTGGGCGCAAACGCTTTGCCCCGATTGGAAGCTACTGGAAATACACGAGGCCCAACCAGGGAGCAGACTGGGCGAGCACTTTCCGTAAAGGAAACAGCTCGCCACTGGAGGTGGTCTTCGTGCATAAGGGAGAAGACGT